TTTGCTCCCTAATTCTCCAGACTTTTAGACTAAATTAAGCACCTTTGTTACTACCTCGATTGTTATGTTCACTGTATGGATCCTCTTCCAGCTGTTGGATGCACTGCAGTCTGCATGGTTCCAGACATCTGTGGCAATTAGTCTGCCATCATCTTGAATCACTCACATTGTTAGCTGCTGTCTATGCTGCAAAAGGCAGTTATTCTGGAAATTAGCTGGTGGTCATAATAAAGTGACTTGACTGTATAAACTGGCATAGTGAATTGGTTTCATTTTTACATTGATGAGATGATAAAGTTCAAACACTAAGTCTGGAATATATTATATCATAAAAACGCACACAATTGAACCTTAAAAGTAAAATTCCAGAAAAGTTTAATGTGAATTAAACACAAACATTTAAGGCTCGTGGAACATAAATATGGATACTGATAAAAGAAAATACAACACTGCACTAGCCAGGTATGCCACAGACAATGACGTTCAAGCCTATCTAGACAAAGCTTCCATTATATGGAGATCTAAGCATGATGACCAAATCAGGATACTAGAAGCTCCTGAGATATTCAAATCTGAAAAGAGGGCAATTGCATCAATTTTAAAAATGAAGAACAATTATCTTATGCCTGGCAAAATAGAAGGGCAGATTTTCAGTAGCTATCACTTCCCTGATTTGTAATGGATAATTTTTGACCTATTATCATTGATATCCATACCTTTTTCTCTTGAAGCAGTTCAATCACTAATGGCTAGGTTTCAGTGTTTTTTTTTCTTTGTAAGTAGCATATTCCATTGGATACTTTGATTTCAGATATGCTAAGGATTTTTGATGTTTTCCCTCTTTGTATAATGAAGAGGAAATCTTCACAACTTACACTTATAATAAAGATGAGACTAAAGTTAAATTTCAAAGTAACTTATTCTATACTGCAGTCGATTGATGTTTTGTTGGTTTGTTATGACATATGCAAGCAACAACTTCTGAAATCTCAAATAAGTTTTCAAGTAGCTTCATCTAGCTTGAAAATAGACACTCAGAATTTATAACTTGGATTCCTTTGTTTTTGAAAATTTTCAGGAATTTGTGAAGTCATAAAATATTTATAAATTGTTAAAATTGAAAAGCTAACGTAAGACTAAGATTAATGTTAAGAAAATCTTTATGCAGTGGAAATTATTTACTACACTAATGTTTTTGTCAAGTGAAACCAAAAATGTTAGCATAGTAAATTGATTTCCACTAAGATTGGGTATGGAACAGTATTTTTATAGTTCTGTACTGTTCCAGTTACCATTTACTTTATTATTAGAGAGGTTGCTGCCGATGTTTTGAATGCGAAAATGTGTACATCGGACGTTCAGCACCGTCTTCCTGTAAGCCTAGAAGTTTGACAATGGTCAGTGGAATCATGCTCGACGTTCCAAACACCATTGTCAAACTTCTAGGCTTACAGGAAGGCGGTGTTGAACATCCGATGTATATGTTTTTGCGTTGAAAATGTCAGCCACAATACCTCAATTATGGCTTTTTCCTCATATCATAATTATTATTTTATCCTATCCATGGCTTGCTTTATTTTGTTATATTGTCAAAGATAAGTTATATTGGATGCTGATTAAAAGTTTGTTAGACAAGAAAACTAGATTATAATTAGTTATAAAGTTCATATATTAAAACAATTGTTTTTATAGAATTAATCTTACTAGCAAATTACAATTATCACAAGACAACAATTATACAAATACAAAATATCTTAACAAATAAATAAAACTTAAAGTGTAATATTAATCCATGAGTTTCTTAAGATTACAGTGGAACTACGCTTAATGAGCGTAATTCATTCCAGAATCTTACTTGTAATGCAAAAAAGTTTTTTTCCATATAAATTAATGTAAAATACGATAATGCATTCCATGCCAAAAAAAATACTCAAATATTTTGTGTATAACATTTATTCAAAGAAAATTATACAATATACATTGTTAAGGAGCATAAATCATCATCATCATTATTTCTTTGAGTGCAGAATGAATCAAATCAAATTCACATTCCAGGTTGTAGGGGTAGGGGGAAAATCACAGATATATCTGATAAAGATGCCAAACAATATGCAAATTCTTGGGCTATGCAAATGCTATAATTAAATATTAGAAATTAATTAATTTTACTAGAGGTAGGTAGTTATGCTGCCATTAATTATTCATAATTATTAAATTTAATACAATTAATTTATAATTTAGACATTTTTAAAATTAGAATTGGTCATTCAATTTGGTACGATATGGTGTCACATGTGTCGGTTAGACAGGTTGCCTGACTGCATGCAGTAGACCTGACTAAGCTGCCGATAGATGGCGCTTAGTCAGGTCTACTGCATGTGGAATATATCCTTGGTCTACCTTCCCTGCCTTTTGTAAGAGACCACATGCTAGTGACTCCTGCCTGTACATTACTGCTCGTAACACAAAGAACAAAGTTTATTCTGTCACTAATAATACTCAAATTATTATTAAACATGTCAGTGTAACCAAACATTACAGATGGCAGCATAAATGTCCACCTCTAGTCAAATTAATCAATTTCTAATATTTAATTTTAGCCTTTACCTAGTCCAAGAATTTGGCATATTATTTGGTGTGTTTATTATATAATAGGCTATGATTGTTGATGTTTATATGTAATATGTGTGAACACAAGTTTGGAAAAATGTGTGACCATGAGTGACACTAAGATGCTAGCAGAACAAGTGCTAAATGCAGACTGATGGAGCATGCATGCAATCCAGGTCTTCCCCCTCTCCTTGTCACTCATTATGTGAGTCATTTTTTTACAATTTGTTTTGCTCGTTATGCGAAATATTCATTGTGCGAGGTGCTTGTTAAGCGAGATTCCACTGTACTTTTAATGTTATAATTTATTGAAAAAGTTGTACTTAATCCATATCTTCTAAAATGTTTGTTTGTGAAGCTACAGTATAATTACAACAGCACATTTTTCCTGGAAGATATGCTAAATGGGTGAGTTGTCTCCTCCTACAACTGGCTAAAAAGTGATTTTGTCTGTTTAGAAAAATACCAGGCTATGTTGGAAGAACTATACTGCAATCAAACATTTGTATTTTTGTGAATTTTATTCATGAGAAGAAAAATGGGACTGAAATAAAAGTACAAAACAGGAATAGGAATATATGTCCTAATTTTGTTTTTATCCTGTTCATTCCCGTACAGTTTCCCACAAAATTAAAGATGTTCAAGAATCCCATTTCCTCACATCTTTGACTCTTGACAGACATCTGGTGATGTTTCCAAGCTAATGCCAACACCAAACAATAACTGGGCTGCAGTTTGAAAAAATTGTAGACCTGTAAACTCCCACTATCATATGTGTGTCCGTTAATCTTGAGAACAGAGTTAGATAGATGAAATTTAATACCAGATATGGGAAAAGTTAAGTGCAGGAGGCCCCAATTAACTATATATGAACTTCCAATACAAACCAGAAGTCACATTATTTTGATTCAAAAAGTTCCCCCCATAAGGAGATAGATGATCAGCATAATTCCATTGCTAACAGAAAAAGTATGGTGTAGAGAGGCAAGCCACTACTAATTTGAGGTGGAGAGCATATATTTTAAATTAAGTAAATTAAAATGAACAATTATTTATTGTGACATTGTCACAATGTCAGGCTGCAATTTTTAATCATATTTTTTATCTAACTTCATCACACTTATAAATAGTATAAATAAAACTCACAAACCTTATTGTGCTTTGCACTTTGTTGTGAAAACTGTTACATCACTAATTTTTTCAGTCCATACCTATTAACTTTTTCATGTAGAGCTGCCTAAAAAATATCAAATCTTTCTGGTGTTAGCATTCTATTTTGTTATGCATATAAGTCTGATGTATTCAAATTTCAAATTTTTAAAAAATTTTTCTTTTGTTATCCAATCAGGTGCACGTACATTGTTTGCTTTATTGCTTTGTTATTATAGTGCTGAGGAAAGTTCTAGGTGTGGACTGAAAATGTTAGTTAAATCACTAAGTGCAAAGCATGATAAGGTTTGTGAATTTTATTTATAGTACTCTTAACTTTGTTGTTATAAATTATTTAATGAAAAGTACAGAGTAAAGTAAAGTGTTATTTTGTAGAGAATAAAAAACTTCAATATTGAATAGGAGAGAGATACTTTCTATTTTATGCCAAGCCTTTTGTTTCGTGCAGTTCTTAATTATCTGTTGATTTATTATGTATCTGTTAGCTGAAGTGGCAAGAGTATTAATGTTTGGCAACAGTAGCAGCCAAAATATCCTATTTGGTCCATCCTGAGAAACTACATAATTCACAGATTATATCATCATTCCTATTTAGTTTACATTTTTGAAAGTACTACTATTTGTGAATTGACAGAAATGTAATTTAATGTAACTCCTAGAAGAAAAACTATTTTGCTTTTGTATTTAATTTTTATGAAGCCACTTAGTCCCTTAAATATATCTGGAATTTCTCATACTTTAAAAATATAATTTTTTATATGACAATTATGTATAAACCAAGCCCAACGTTTAGTAACAAACATACAATACTGCCAGATTTTATTCAAGCAATAATATGGCTAATTAATTACAAAGATGATATTATAATTTAGTCTAAAAGCATGCAGGTCAAGTTGCAATTTTGTACTAAGCTTAATAATTAGAAATAAATTAATTTAGAATATTCTGGAAGAAAAGATTAATTTGAAGTGGGACTTAAACCCACAACTCCCGCTTATTTTGAAAATGAATTTCCAGTTATGATACATATATACCTCTGTCTAATCTTTGCTTCCAGACCAATCAATTTAGAAGACATAATCATATAGGTCATTCATAAAGTGACCTATATAGTTATATAGACCAGGTGTAGACCACCTGGATGGTAATTATTTTGAATAAAAAAAATTCATGATTATATGTAATTCATCTTTCTTATAATAAACTTGATTCTTGTTAAGATTACAGGATTAAAAGAACCAAGAGGAATTGCTGTTAATTGGATAGGAAAACACATTTATTGGGTAGATGCCGGGACAGATACGATATCAATAGCAACTTTAGATGGCAAACTTAAACGTACTTTAATTACAACAGATTTAGATCAACCTCATGACATTGTTGTTGATCCAAATATTGGGTAAGAGTTATTTATTAAATTTATAAATATTAGATTTTATCATTTAGTCTTTACTGTTTTTATCAAAACTAAGTACTAATTTTAACCGAAATTATATAAAGATTCAATATATATTCTATAGACATATATTTCTAAAAAGGACAATGGTATACAAGAAATTTAAATTGACTGAAGTATCAAGACAATCTTTTTTATTTACTTTGGCAATTTGAGATTAGCATCCTTTGTCATCTCTTCTAGAACTATCTTTTCTTACTCTTTTTATAGAAATTTTCCATTTCCTCATACTTATTATAATTGGATAATGAATGGTTCTTTCCATAAATTCATTTTTATGATCTTTGAAATATTTGTAGAAGTTATTAAACCATTTTTTAAAATTTTATTACCACCTGGGGTAGTTCATATCCTTGCACTGACTCTATCAGTGCTTAGTTGTATGATAAAAATAGTAACTAGTAATATTGAACAATTAAATTTCATGTTAATTTTTCTCTTTTACTCTAAAGAACAGTTAAATTTTGTTTTAGCATTAAATATCAAGTATTAAATACTAATTACTTTTACTTAACCTACATAATACATTTTTACAATTTTTATTAAAATGTGTTAATAATTCTTAATAATAATTATTATTATACAAGGGTGTATCTGGGATTATGATAAAATGGGTGTTATATATGCACCTATCTTCGATATCAGAGCACTCCCTAGTTACACCCTACTACATTATTATTATTATTATTATTAATAAAATAAAAGACAAAACTGTCCAAAAAGGATCACCATTTATTACNAAGAAAACCCCAAAAGAAGGTATGATGGAAGCAAGACAACTGCATGTCACCAGTTCCTTTTTCAGAAATTTTATAAAATTTTAATTGGATGTTTTGTGTTTTTAAAAGGACTTTTTGTGAACTTTACGGCGACAAGTAGCCTAGAAAGGAAGGTCAGTCGCCGAAAATGTTTTAGTCTTGGAACACAAGTAATAAATGGTGATCCTTTTTGGACAGTTTTGTCTTTTATTTTATTAAAAATAATTCTCCATCGGACAAACTTTTACAGGTATTATTATTATTATTATTATTATCAGGATGTTTAAGTGATTTGATTTATTCATTTCTCATTTAATATTTCTAGATACATTTATTGGTCAGATTGGGGATCTGCAAAAATTGAAAGAGCTAAACTTGATGGTAGTGAACGTTCTGTGTTAGTCAATGAAGATGTGCAATGGCCAACTGGATTAGCTATTGATTTTGCTGCAAAAAGACTGTATTGGACAGATCCAAAGGCGCACACTGTTGAAACTGTAAATATGGATGGAAAACAAAGACACATTGTTAGATCCTTTGTATCTGGTTGGTAACATTTAATCAAATTTTATTTTTTTGCAAAATTTAATAATAATAATTATAATAAAAGCTGTCATTTGTTTACTTTATAAGCAAATTTGTTTATTTTACAAATTAAATATTTTTGTGATTGTGAAAATGAATGAAATAAAATTTTATTAAACCCAAAATGTTCACAAAAGAATAAGAATATAAATGTATATAAGAATTATGTATATTTACTGTTTTAAGTTTATCAAAATGGGTATTGCATAGGGTATGGGAATGGATTAATTGACTTTTCATTATTTATAATGGGGAAAATTAATTTGGACTTTGAATCCTGGAATGAATTAAATTCAAATTATGAGGCATCACTATATCTAATTTTCATCAAAAATAAATTTAAATTTATACAGCTTATAAAATGCTATAAATATTATATTTATAACATTGTTAAATTAGTTCTACCACAAATAAAAATAATTGGAATACATCTTTATAACTAATTCTAAAATGTGCCTATTAGAAATTAAAATATTATATAAAAATATTGAAACAATTCACTTTTTTTTTTTAATATTAATCAAATATATTTATATATTTTAGATGAAGAAAGACCATTTAATATTGATGTATTTGAAGATTTCTTGTATATTACAACATTTCCCAGTAATGCTATTATAAAGTTACACAAATTTGGACATGGAAATATTACTTACTTAGTAAAAGGATTAAATAAAGCCAGTGATATCATTATTATTCATGAAAATAAACAAATAAGGAATTGTAAGTATTCATTGATATATTTAATAAGTATAATTAATTGACCATGATTTTTTTTATAGTGGGGAAAAGAATAGAAATTGATTTATTCAATAAAAGAATTATGGTTTTATTTACCCCATTATGAAAATAATTATAAAATTTTAATAACTTGCAGCAAAATGAATTTTTAACAGTATTACGTAAATATTTAATGTAAGACCATAATATTTTCAGATATTAATCCATGTAAAGAAAATTTTTGTGGAAATGGTGCATTATGCATAGCTAATACATCAGAAAATGCTGTTTGTTTATGTCCAGATGGAATGGTTGAAACAAGAACAAGCGATAATAAAACAGCTTGTACCGTTGTTGCTCCAACTCCTTCAACTGGTGTAGGTAAGATCAAGAATAGTTTAATTTAAAAAGTAGGTGGCATAAACACCAATAATTATTAAATCATTGTGAAGTTTTAGTAAGTTTGTAACATTAGTAAGTTAAAAATAACATTATTATAAATACTGATATTAAATTATTAGTTAGTTGTATGCATTTAATTATATAATGTTTATTTTTAAATATTTTTATTTTAATTTCAATAATTAGCAAATTGCTTAATAACATGTCTAAATGGTGGAACCTGTATTCTCGGTCAAGATGAAAAATCTTTCTGTAGGTTTGTATAAAATTATTAGTCTCAAAAATTTTTTTAAATTATAAATAATAATGATTGTTGTTATATTAAAAAATGTTTGAATTACTGTTAATTTTATAATTATGTTAATTTAATTTTTATTAAATTTTAAAGATGCACACCTGAATATGAAGGAACAACTTGTCAGATATTTCGTTGTTCAAATTATTGCAAAAACAATGGTTTTTGTTATACCGATCTACTTCAAAACACATCTCCTGGTAAAAAACCCCCACTGAAATGCAAGTAAGTAATAAATATTAATTAATTATTTTTTTTTTGTTTAAAATCTTGTACAGACGAGACAACAAATTGCCAAAGGAAGACTTCTCTCAATGCACGCAAACAATAAAATAAATTCAAGACAAAATTAATTGTAAAAATTTTTCACATTAAACCTATTTCAGAGGTAAAAAATTTCTTTGAGTAAACAAGTACTGATATGCCAATTAGTATTTTTGTTTGGTGATAACAATATAAAAAATGTTTTTCTTTATAAATTTTTAGATTTTTTGACCTCAAAAAAAGGTAAAAAATAAGTCTAACTAGACTAAACAAGTAAAAAGCACACTACTACTTGTTTATTCTGGTTTTAGATGATGTCATTTGTGACAAGAAATATATTTTAATAGTGCAATAAACCAAGAAGTAAATTGTGAAAACATCTGTTAAAAAAATGACACACAAATAGGAATATATTCAGGAAGTGACATGTTAAAATATATGCAATTGAAAAAAAAGGTACTTATTAATTACTATATTTTACAAAACCATTAAGTGAGTCAGTTAGTTTATGGAGACAAATTAGATGTTTCATACTGATTAGATAATTGGAAATTTAAAACAATCTATAAAATGCATTAAATACAGATTTATATTTATTTTATCTTGAACTTTAGATAGTTTAATTGCAGTTTTAAAGTAAAGAAGACCTTTAGTAACACACTATTTAAATTTAATAAAATATGTACTATATAAAAAAAGAAATTGAAAAGTTATTGGTTTTTGAGGTGGAATGTTAGTGAAGCCTTTTCCAAGTGGCTTACAGAATTATTAATACATCCATTCCCAAAATTTTATGGGCCAATTTTGATAAAATTTTGCCATTTTCCATTAATTGCAATGGGGCTCCAAAAATTAACAAAGAATGAAGATTCCATTATTTTGACCCCACTTTATCTCAAAATGACAACATCCATTCTCCTTGATGCAACTGAACATGCTTAACAGAATTTAAAGGGAGGAGACCAGCATTGTGTTTTGTTCATTTTTTGCACCCATTTTTCATTAGGTGTACACAAGATCAAAGCAATCAATGCCAATTGTTTTGTTCTTGGACTGGCTCCTCCATGGAAAGCAGATGCAAGGATCATCTGTCCATGACTATCTTTCTGGTTCTGCCTCAGTTCTTTTGTAGTACAACAAAGTTGTGTAATGTTCCTAGTAATAATTATTTGGGTACTGATGCTTATAAAACTAAACACCAATTTTATGAAAATGTTTAGTATTAGTTTAAAATAAAATAAAAATAAAACACATTTCTAAAATAAGTTCTAAATTGTTTGTAAATATCTCTTATCAGATCTTTAGTATATAACAATGACGACACAAGAACAATAATAGATGATAAAAAACGGTTTTTAAGAGGAAAAAATAAAAGTTTATGTCAAATGAAATTTAAAATTTATATTTTATCATAGTAAGAATATTAAGAACTGATTACTTCTTTCAATTTTCAGACATTTAAGAAATTAAAGAGTACTTACTAAAAATAAAAAAAATTTATCAGATACCAGTACTTGTATATTATAAATATTACCATTTTATTAAAATCTTCAAATATTTAATATTTTTTGAAGTATATTTACATAAATAAAACAAAATAATATACTTTTGTAATGGTATGTTTATGAATTTTAATTTAGCTGTCCAGCAGAATGGACTGGAGAAAGATGTGAAACACCATTCCAAAATTGTAATCAGGAAGACTGCATGAATGGAGGAACATGCAAGTATGTTTATGGAAGTCACTATTGTGTCTGTCCACCAGGTTTTACTGGTCCAAGATGCGATCAATGTCCACCATTAAAGTAAGACTTAATATAATTAATAATAAATTTATTTGATGAACATAATAAAAATGAATTTATTTTTGAATATTGAAAAAATACTTGAAATGTTGGTTATACAGTTTAACTCAATTATAATATCATCCATGGGACTGGCAATTTTTTCATGTTATAACCAAGTATCATTATCTACGAGGTCATAATTCAGTCTCATAAAAAGTACCAAGTGTGTTTAAGGATCTATTATAAAATTCATTCTAATTTAACATCATATGTATTACCATAAAATTACCATATTTCTTAATGGTAATATAGAATACTGCACAGGTTCTCAAAAGTTATTTCAACCACTGCCTACTTTGAGATTAAAAAGTCTAGTGTCCCCATATTTTTAACTTACCTTTTTACATTACCATCTATTACATATCTTAAAAACAGTTATTGCAAAACAGTTATTGCAAATATAATGTTTAAACATGTATTATTATATGGATAGGATAGATAGAATGTGACCCATACTGTCATATTATTAATGATTTATATGCACACCTGTTAGTGTGTTGATGTCTGGATCTAGCTAGTATGGATCACTGGCACTGAGAAGTTTGTTTAATTTATATTATAAAATCACATCTTCGAGGCACCAATATCTATAAATTTCTATAGGTTTGACAGCTCTCATCCATAAATTAACATTCAGCTGACAATAATTTCTGTAAACTGGTCAACAATCTAGATATTGTTTATATCAAACATTGCATTTGGTGACAAACGAGGCGGTTTATTGCTGTAGCCACGTGTTACGTGCAACCCAAGAGGGGATAAGAAACATCTCTTATTCCCATCTTGTTGATATTATCGTCTATCAAATTACTGTTAAACAATGGAGGAGATTTCTTTTATTGATATTTTAACAATTTTTTTCGAGGAGATCGTCTCGGTCATCAACCACAGAGGGCCCCCTTTTTCCTTTTACAAAGAAAATTATGCAGTTTATAAGAGGGGCGACACTGTTCTAAAACAAGGAAAAAGGGTTTCATACCTTTACACTTGCCTGGAGACAAAACAATGATGCTTGCATGGCTCATACTGCCATGTCATACAGCCAGTGAACTGTATTTCTGAATATAGAGTTTTTGGCTGCATCATGGGAAAAGCAGCGGATTTATCAGACTTTGATAAAGGACAAATCATTATGGCCAGATCCCTGGGAATGTCAATCTCAGAAACAGAGATATATAATTTATTTAGTTAAATAAATTATAAGTAATTAAGCTCACTAATTATTCAAGATCTGGTTAATGTTTGAATTCAAGAAAGTAATATTCACCCATTTCTATCATATTCCTATTAGATTTTTTAAAGTAATTTTTGATGTTCTGTCATGTTTTATATAGTATGGCTTGGAATAATTAATAATTTATATTTTTCTAGATGTGAAAACAGAGGATATTGTATTAAAAATGAGGAGGGACAAAATAGTTGTGAGTGCCAACCAGGTTATTCAGGTAGTTATTGTGAATTATCCAATTGTGATAAGTATTGCGTACGTGGCAATTGTACATTAAATGTTGATGTACCTTCTTGTAACTGTCCTCTTGGATTCACAGGAGAAAAATGTGAAATAAATAGATGTTTAAATCATTGCTTAAATGGAGGTAAATATCTATTCTATATGTATCTTAATAATAATAAGAGCAAGAGCTGAATATAGTTTAATATATTAATTTTTGCTTTGAAATGGTTAAATACAAAAATTTATTTTTTTTTAATTACTTATTACCTTTACAGGAAAGTTACTGTACATAGCAGATATCATAAGATAAAAGAATGTGTTAATAATAAATTTTAGCATTAATTTTCTCTTAAGTAAATGCATATTTTATTATATCTCTGAACAATAATATTGAAAATGGTCTTTATGGAGTAATTAATAAGCACCAACGTAATGATGTAAATTTAAATAGAATCTAACAGAGTGAAAGTGATCTAGATTGGACAATGTTAATCTTAGATATTTATGAAGATAATGGACAGATTATTTCTGTCTTTATTGATTCCATATAATTGTCACAACACAAATTATGGACTTATGCTTAAAGAAATAATCTATTCCAGAACACAAAGATTCTAATCTTAGTGGACTCTTGGTAAACATTTCATTTAATAGCTGTAATTCTAATAATAAACACAAAAGTGAATCGAGTACTGAAAATTGTTATTAACTATGACATTCTTAATTGCTGATGAATAATAGTTTATTTTATAATAGTTACAAGAATTGCAATTTCAGTTACAGAAAAACATTATTAACATAAAAAAATTTTGTGACTTTAGAAACAAATTCCAGTGATGTTTAAATTACTAAAATTATAATTCTAATAAAAAATGTTTTTTAATAATTAGGAAGTTTTCATAAACAAATTTGTTGTTTTCTAATTTAGGTACTTGTCAACCTAAAAATGATGATAAGTTATTGTGTCAGTGTCCACCAGGATTTAGAGGACGAAGGTGTGAACAAAAGTTATGTAATTGTCAGAATGAAGGAAAATGTACTCCACTGAAAACAGAAAGCGGTACAATTTACAGATGTCATTGCACGAGAGATTTTACTGGAACTTATTGTGAAACACTTGTGGCTACATCTTGTCACAGTCATTTCTGCAAAAATGGTGGTACCTGTGTTTTACATGAAGGAAATCCTATTTGCAAGTAAGAATAATTTGTTTAGGAATTTTTTTTTTTAATTTATTTAAGAAAAGAAACAAAAATTATTTTAGTTGTAAGAATTGAAGAATATTAAGTTTATGTTATAAAATAAATATCCGTATTTCCCTCTATGATACTCGACAGAATAAATTCAAAGTGAAATTTTTAAAATTAATTATGAAATGATGAGTTTATGTCTGCAATTATCTATGTTACATTGTGACTTGTTTTCAAATTTCATAAGAAGACTGACATTTTGATTAATACTCATTGATAAAACATGCTTTCATTTAGGGTTTTTGTTTGTTAGACAATATAATATGAAAACAAGCATTTTACTGTTACACACAAAAGCAGGTTAAACAGCTTTAAAGTGTTGAAATTCTTTACAAGAACTCTTAAAAAGCATTTTGACTCTCAATTTTTTTGCAACTAAACTAAATTTCTCTTTCCTATTCTTTAAACTATAATTATTATAAAATCAAGCTTTCCTTCTATCTACATTCTGGAAATTCCATTAACATGGTATCTTATAACTAATGAATTGATGATTACATGAATTTGAAATGGCAGTTTTCTGTACTGTAGTTCTATACTATATTTAAGAAATTGTATAATCAAAGAGATGACATTTAAAGCATAAATATTAACAAAGTTGTAATCTTTAAATGGAATTCAGCAGTATTCCAAACGTTACAAGTGAGTGAAGAGTTTGTGAATTATTTAAATTAAGAATTCTTAATTCTTGTCAAATATTCCAAGATTAAGAAATATAGAATAATAATTGTTAAAAGAATTAAATTTTTAGATGTCCTTCCATAGAATTTTTATTAAATGATTCATTAGGAATGATAGTTTTTAATTTTTAAGGTTGCAACTAAATATATGCTAGATTATTCAGTTAATTTCTTTAAAATTAAGTATGACAGCTCATCTTATAGTCATTGCTGTAGAAGAAAAAGCATATTTCTTCTGTTATTGTTAACTGATTTGCTTGCTCTGAATGAGAGATTAATTAATTTGTTTTCATATTTATAACTTTACTAGTGTTATAAAGCAATTACCTCTATTTTAAGGTAATATTGAAGCACTGACTGGGCTAACTAATTATTATAATTTAAATTTTAAATATTTGTTGTTTATTTTTGTCATATGTATCTACTATTTCTTTTGGCTTGATAATATACTGTATTTAGACATATGATAGGTATAACATAAAACATATCTGAAATGAATGTTATATTGTTGTAATAATTATTTTGAATGGCATAATCTATTAAGATTTAATCTATTATTCCCATATTTTTGAGATTTTAATGTGCTTACAAAGAATGAATTTACAACATGAACCCTATTATAGATTCAAAATTGAATTTAAAAAATTATGGACATGTCATTCTTGTTCTGTTTGAAAATTATGAGTATTCAGAATTAATTTTTTTTTTTATACAGTAGAATTATTTTTTTAATTAGAACTATAAAAATTTAGTTTTTATTACTAAAATATAAAAAATTTAACTTATAAGCTTTGATCTTTTGAAGAATTTGAAGGCTTTCTACTCAAACTTCTGCCAATTTATTAAAATCTTTATTCTCTACTTGCTGACTATAACTTAAAAACTATAAACTTGCTGAAACTTTAAATTTCCTACTTCTATTTTCTTGTCTTTTGTAGTTGTAAAAATGGTTGGGTGGGACAATTATGTGAAATTCAAGTTTCAAAATGGAATTCTTGCACTGGCTATTGTTTTAATGGTGGTAGATGTAATTTAACGCAAGGTCCTGATTCTTTGCCTCGATGCACGTAAGTAAAATCCTTTGAAATATTTATAAGTAAAACATTAACAATCACTGTACAATATTAGGTTTAACAAACTAAATTTTATTTTATGATAAAATTTTAAAACATACAACCATTCAGTTTAAGTATTAAAGAATATCTTAGATTTATGAGCATATTGGACTACAATTTTGAGATGATTTATAAAAAAAATTGCATCATTTATTTGAAAAGGAGATGATTAAACATTTTGATATTAATTTGCAATTAATAAAATGAAACTGATATCTTTGACACTCTAAAAAGCCTGGTCCATAGAGTTCATCTAAATGTCCAAATGTTTAATCTGCTCCTGATATAAAAGATAAAACTATGTATTTATTCCATTTTATGATATGATATTTAGGATCATGTATTAATCATTGCATATTATACACACCCATTTCTTTAAGGGTAAGAGGGAAATAAATGATAGATAATGGGTACAAAAAAACTTGTTCTCATCTAACTATTTGTTAGCAACAATGACAACAAATTTTAACAATATCAATAAACTTTATTTTGTATCTATTTATTCATTTTTCTTACACATTTTATTAGAATTTTCTATCAAGATATAACTGGACATTTAAAACAGCAGAAAGGTCAACTATGAAAGAGATGAGATAGGAATGTAATAGATAAAATTGCAAGGGATTTTTATTTTAAATGTATTTTTTTTAAAGAGTTAGGAATTCTCTCTTATTTTTGTTTTCCTGACAAATAAATAGTATGTCCATTTTTCTTAATTCAAGATTTATTTTATAATAGATTTGTATTTCAAATATCAAAGACAGCTAGTTTTAGAGTATTATGTCTCTATTATCATCATCTTTTTGTTGTCAATCTCTGTTATATAAAACAAAATTGAAACAGATCAAGTACTAATAATAATCAAAATCTTTTTGCTACACATTATTATTAAATCCAAATAAAATACTGTATATGATTTATATATAAACAATATAACATTCTTTTTAACATCATTATTATCATCTTAATTTATCACACTATCATAAAATAATACGCAGTTATTTTATATTTTTTGAAATTTTCCTATAACTTTATATAAGCAGAGATTAAAAAGAAAAAGGAAGAATATTGATTACAACTGATATATCAAAGATTAAAAGTCAATACAGAATCTGTTTGTACTAGAAAGGATCTAAAATGATTTTTCTAGATAGCTGATCTGAATCTAGGAAAAAAAACCACCTGTCAAACAATTTATCTCATAATTCTCAATGTTGAGAGAAATATTAAAGGATAAGATATATTGATATGATAACTGTCGATGCATCTGCAACAAAGTATTAGAAAGTAGGAAGAGTTGCTGGAATTCCAGCAGATTGAAGTTTAAAAAAAAAATGGAAAAAATGAATTGCAGATTTAAGGAACAGAAGATAATTCAAGTCTTTTGACAGATTGAAAAACAGACTGAGCTAAGGATTGATTCAGATATTTATAACTGGTCTTAGTGTCATGGAAAAATTAGAGAGATGATTATTTTATTAGAATATCATCTGAATTAATGGAGAGACTAGTAGAGTTTTTAATATATGAATACATAAATAAAGCTAGCTACAGTATAATTTAAGAATGAGAATAACTTTTAAATTTTCAAAAAATCTCATTATTTCATATATATTAACAAACAAATGTTATATTTACATAGATATCTTTATCAAAATTAAACTAAATTATAAAGGTAGATTCAGACAACAAACTCAAATTTTTAATTATTCAAAACTAGAGCTGGATTACATTTGAGCTATAAAATAGTTATTTATATAAAAACCAGAAGTTTACAATTATAAAGATAATTTTATTAATGAATTAACTAAGTATTGCAAATGTGAAATAATTTAGAGAAACTTAATGAAATTTAAGACAAAAGNCATCAACCACAGAGGGCCCCCTTTTTCCTTTTACAAAGAAAATTATGCAGTTTATAAGAGGGGCGACACTGTTCTAAAACAAGGAAAAAGGGTTTCATACCTTTACACTTGCCTGGAGACAAAACAATGATGCTTGCATGGCTCATACTGCCATGTCATACAGCCAGTGAACTGTATTTCTGAATATAGAGTTTTTGGCTGCATCATGGGAAAAGCAGCGGATTTATCAGACTTTGATAAAGGACAAATCATTATGGCCAGATCCCTGGGAATGTCAATCTCAGAAACAGAGATATATAATTTATTTAGTTAAATAAATTATAAGTAATTAAGCTCACTAATTATTCAAGATCTGGTTAATGTTTGAATTCAAGAAAGTAATATTCACCCATTTCTATCATATTCCTATTAGATTTTTTAAAGTAATTTTTGATGTTCTGTCATGTTTTATATAGTATGGCTTGGAATAATTAATAATTTATATTTTTCTAGATGTGAAAACAGAGGATATTGTATTAAAAATGAGGAGGGACAAAATAGTTGTGAGTGCCAACCAGGTTATTCAGGTAGTTATTGTGAATTATCCAATTGTGATAAGTATTGCGTACGTGGCAATTGTACATTAAATGTTGATGTACCTTCTTGTAACTGTCCTCTTGGATTCACAGGAGAAAAATGTGAAATAAATAGATGTTTAAATCATTGCTTAAATGGAGGTAAATATCTATTCTATATGTATCTTAATAATAATAAGAGCAAGAGCTGAATATAGTTTAATATATTAATTTTTGCTTTGAAATGGTTAAATACAAAAATTTATTTTTTTTTAATTACTTATTACCTTTACAGGAAAGTTACTGTACATAGCAGATATCATAAGATAAAAGAATGTGTTAATAATAAATTTTAGCATTAATTTTCTCTTAAGTAAATGCATATTTTATTATATCTCTGAACAATAATATTGAAAATGGTCTTTATGGAGTAATTAATAAGCACCAACGTAATGATGTAAATTTAAATAGAATCTAACAGAGTGAAAGTGATCTAGATTGGACAATGTTAATCTTAGATATTTATGAAGATAATGGACAGATTATTTCTGTCTTTATTGATTCCATATAATTGTCACAACACAAATTATGGACTTATGCTTAAAGAAATAATCTATTCCAGAACACAAAGATTCTAATCTTAGTGGACTCTTGGTAAACATTTCATTTAATAGCTGTAATTCTAATAATAAACACAAAAGTGAATCGAGTACTGAAAATTGTTATTAACTATGACATTCTTAATTGCTGATGAATAATAGTTTATTTTATAATAGTTACAAGAATTGCAATTTCAGTTACAGAAAAACATTATTAACATAAAAAAATTTTGTGACTTTAGAAACAAATTCCAGTGATGTTTAAATTACTAAAATTATAATTCTAATAAAAAATGTTTTTTAATAATTAGGAAGTTTTCATAAACAAATTTGTTGTTTTCTAATTTAGGTACTTGTCAACCTAAAAATGATGATAAGTTATTGTGTCAGTGTCCACCAGGATTTAGAGGACGAAGGTGTGAACAAAAGTTATGTAATTGTCAGAATGAAGGAAAATGTACTCCACTGAAAACAGAAAGCGGTACAATTTACAGATGTCATTGCACGAGAGATTTTACTGGAACTTATTGTGAAACACTTGTGGCTACATCTTGTCACAGTCATTTCTGCAAAAATGGTGGTACCTGTGTTTTACATGAAGGAAATCCTATTTGCAAGTAAGAATAATTTGTTTAGGAATTTTTTTTTTTAATTTATTTAAGAAAAGAAACAAAAATTATTTTAGTTGTAAGAATTGAAGAATATTAAGTTTATGTTATAAAATAAATATCCGTATTTCCCTCTATGATACTCGACAGAATAAATTCAAAGTGAAATTTTTAAAATTAATTATGAAATGATGAGTTTATGTCTGCAATTATCTATGTTACATTGTGACTTGTTTTCAAATTTCATAAGAAGACTGACATTTTGATTAATACTCATTGATAAAACATGCTTTCATTTAGGGTTTTTGTTTGTTAGACAATATAATATGAAAACAAGCATTTTACTGTTACACACAAAAGCAGGTTAAACAGCTTTAAAGTGTTGAAATTCTTTACAAGAACTCTTAAAAAGCATTTTGACTCTCAATTTTTTTGCAACTAAACTAAATTTCTCTTTCCTATTCTTTAAACTATAATTATTATAAAATCAAGCTTTCCTTCTATCTACATTCTGGAAATTCCATTAACATGGTATCTTATAACTAATGAATTGATGATTACATGAATTTGAAATGGCAGTTTTCTGTACTGTAGTTCTATACTATATTTAAGAAATTGTATAATCAAAGAGATGACATTTAAAGCATAAATATTAACAAAGTTGTAATCTTTAAATGGAATTCAGCAGTATTCCAAACGTTACAAGTGAGTGAAGAGTTTGTGAATTATTTAAATTAAGAATTCTTAATTCTTGTCAAATATTCCAAGATTAAGAAATATAGAATAATAATTGTTAAAAGAATTAAATTTTTAGATGTCCTTCCATAGAATTTTTATTAAATGATTCATTAGGAATGATAGTTTTTAATTTTTAAGGTTGCAACTAAATATATGCTAGATTATTCAGTTAATTTCTTTAAAATTAAGTATGACAGCTCATCTTATAGTCATTGCTGTAGAAGAAAAAGCATATTTCTTCTGTTATTGTTAACTGATTTGCTTGCTCTGAATGAGAGATTAATTAATTTGTTTTCATATTTATAACTTTACTAGTGTTATAAAGCAATTACCTCTATTTTAAGGTAATATTGAAGCACTGACTGGGCTAACTAATTATTATAATTTAAATTTTAAATATTTGTTGTTTATTTTTGTCATATGTATCTACTATTTCTTTTGGCTTGATAATATACTGTATTTAGACATATGATAGGTATAACATAAAACATATCTGAAATGAATGTTATATTGTTGTAATAATTATTTTGAATGGCATAATCTATTAAGATTTAATCTATTATTCCCATATTTTTGAGATTTTAATGTGCTTACAAAGAATGAATTTACAACATGAACCCTATTATAGATTCAAAATTGAATTTAAAAAATTATGGACATGTCATTCTTGTTCTGTTTGAAAATTATGAGTATTCAGAATTAATTTTTTTTNATTCCCGTACAGTTTCCCACAAAATTAAAGATGTTCAAGAATCCCATTTCCTCACATCTTTGACTCTTGACAGACATCTGGTGATGTTTCCAAGCTAATGCCAACACCAAACAATAACTGGGCTGCAGTTTGAAAAAATTGTAGACCTGTAAACTCCCACCGATGTTGTCTGTCTAACCCTCCTTAATCTAGAGAACGGAGTTAGATAGATGAAATTTAAGACAAAAGTAGACAATGATTATTAAATAGCAGCATCTGGTAGAGATGTAGATATTCAGTGAAAAAGTCTCAAATTTTTCAAGTTAATCATTTTGCAATAAAAACTACTCAAATATTAACAATTCAAGATCCAGTGTCTTTTTACTGTTTTCAGATTTCCTATTACTTTTAATAAAAAATTTTCACAAAGCTTGATTCTTAATTACTTGATATAATTCTGTTTTGTTAAGAATAGTCAAAATACCCTGATAAAATGAGAATCTGCCCTAATCTTCAATTTAGAAGAAAAAAATTGCCATTTCATTAAAAACTAACTAAAAATTTGACAGATCTTAACTAGTATAAAAAAATTCTCAAATTATTTAACTAGAATTATTCTACTTGAAGAGCAATCATTGATAGTCTTCATTTAGTTTTGTAATCGCAATTTCCAAAAGCTTTGGATTGTAATATTGAACTCAAATATTCTAGTAATTTCGATAAAATACATCAATTTCAAAATTGAATTTAAAAAATTATGGACATGTCATTCTTGTTCTGTTTGAAAATTATGAGTATTCAGAATTAATTTTTTTTTTTATACAGTAGAATTATTTTTTTAATTAGAACTATAAAAATTTAGTTTTTATTACTAAAATATAAAAAATTTAACTTATAAGCTTTGATCTTTTGAAGAATTTGAAGGCTTTCTACTCAAACTTCTGCCAATTTATTAAAATCTTTATTCTCTACTTGCTGACTATAACTTAAAAACTATAAACTTGCTGAAACTTTAAATTTCCTACTTCTATTTTCTTGTCTTTTGTAGTTGTAAAAATGGTTGGGTGGGACAATTATGTGAAATTCAAGTTTCAAAATGGAATTCTTGCACTGGCTATTGTTTTAATGGTGGTAGATGTAATTTAACGCAAGGTCCTGATTCTTTGCCTCGATGCACGTAAGTAAAATCCTTTGAAATATTTATAAGTAAAACATTAACAATCACTGTACAATATTAGGTTTAACAAACTAAATTTTATTTTATGATAAANATTCTCAAATTATTTAACTAGAATTATTCTACTTGAAGAGCAATCATTGATAGTCTTCATTTAGTTTTGTAATCGCAATTTCCAAAAGCTTTGGATTGTAATATTGAACTCAAATATTCTAGTAATTTCGATAAAATACATCAATTTCAAAATTGAATTTCATTTTGATTGGAATAAATTATAACTTATTTATATATCTAAAACTTAATTGAATAACTATAGGAAAGAACACTTGACTATTATAATTGTCAAGTGTTAAAAATCTGTACATTAAGAAAGTGAAATCTTTCTAAGTATTTTTCCCAAAAGAGATGTATAAATCTTTTTCAGATTACAATTACATTATGTGTATTTTTTTTTTACAAATTTGCTTCTTACATTTTTATAGTACTTTTGTTTAATGATTTATACTAATAGTGGCTATTGTCTTCTAACATAATTTGAACTACTACTAACAAATTTAGAGTGTTTTATATGATGTCCATATTGAAAGCATATGCTGAAATGTGTATTATAATATTTTAGTTGTTTTGTAAGACAACTAAAATAATACACATTTAAAATTTTAGGATTTTTAATAATGGCTTTACATGAAGTCATATCAGAAGTCCACAGTGGGATTCTTTATACTGCATATATAAATTTTCATTAAATTTAAAGTAAACAAAACTATGCAAAGATGGTTCATATCTTTTGTTATAAAATATTCAGGTGATATTTTGACCATTTATTCAGTCTTCAATTATCTTAGAATACTCTTTTCATGTTTTCTGTTCTCTTATATAATTTAATGAAATTACTCATGTCTCTTCTGCAATGATGATATAAATGCACAAAATAGTTGTTGTAATTGTCTCTGTAGTGAAACTGAAGTATAATTGAACCAACTGCACATTGTATTGAACTGTCTGGGCTGTTGAATGAATGATGTACTTCAGTTTTACCAGACAACTATATTTAGAATTTACCAACTTCCACTAGTACTGTAATGGAATTTTAAATTATTTTTCTTCCAGAAAATTTCAAGTTATCTACTTTAAGAACTAATTACAAAATAAAATGTGACAGTGATCTACTGCTCTAAAAATTCATTTTCAGTTTTATTTTTAGGATGTACAATAAATACTGGAGAGTACAAATATATTTCTTTCTGTGACCTCCTATTTGTATACATTTACAAAGTGATTAGTTGTTAGATACACTAAATATTTCATTATTGAATAAATACAAATAGGTAATTGTATTATCACATAAAATTTATATCCTTGGTTAATTTTTTATTTTCGAGAAATATTTCTGAAAATCCAGGACAAATTAATTAGCTCTTAAAACAATATAAATGTGTCATTTGTCCTGGATTTTCAGGAAGACATCTGAAATAAACTTTATATTCATATTGAAAAATATGAATAGTTTGATATTGAATTTATACAAAGATTAGATATTAATTTTTCAGATGCTTAATATAATAATCTTAATAGAGTATTATAAGAGAAGCCAATAATTAGGTTACAGATACCAAAAAATTAAGCAAGAAAATTTATAGCATAGAATAATAGTTTCTATAAATATTTTGGCACTTGTCTCAACTCTACGAGCTCCTGAAAAATGTTGTACAAATCACTTATGAACATGTATTGTAAAGGCTCCAACAATATCTTCATTGCTCAAAAATATGTAATTACTTGTGCTTGGCCCATGCTATATGAACCTTTCAAACTTTAAAGAACATTTTGATTATCAAATGTTTTTCAAACAATAAATAGATTCAGAAACATGTATTTGCCAATTGCTGTTAGAATCACTGTTTATGCAATATGTTTTTAGAGAGTTGACAAGTGCCTAACTTCTACTAACCAAGATCTAGCACAAAATAATTATTGCCTTTGTGGCTTTTAAAAGAACACTGGGATGGAAAATATGTACTACAGTGAGTCAACAGCAATCAATATATATTTACACAGCATTTTTCAGAAAGTGGCAGAGCGCTGGGACAATTGCCCAAATGTTTAGACTATAAAAATTTTCTTGCTTCATTTTTTTTTTAATTTTATTAACTTCTCCTTGCATTTTACTTAAATTAGTCACACATTATTATATGTAAACTTATGGAAAAGTACTTTATCATTAAGTAAATACAATAATACTTCATTAAAACATATCATTTGTCTTCAGATGCACGTGTGTTGTGTGTTTTTATAATCCAGCATAGTATAGTATCATTTTTTTAGTAAAATTAGTTTTTAAAGATTTTAATCTGTGATTACATTTGTAATTATAAAAACATAGAAATTAATCAATTATTATTTGAACTAATTCAAGTATTGGGAAACTGGAGTCATTCATATTAAAACTATAAATGTAGAAATAATACATTTAGTTATCAAGCAACTTGTTTTTTTTTTTTAATCAAAATTTTACTAGTAACAATTTATGATGTGATAAAAGTTTATACAGCTTATTTTTAATAACATTATGAAATTTCTACAATCAAATAAATTGTTAATGAAAAACAGCAAATACTATATTGATATTCCTGAGTTCAACTTTCTGCATTCACTTAATTTCAAAATTACTTCTATTAAATTTTCTAACATGTAAAAAATAAAAGAATAATATTCTGACACTATATATTATGCAATTTGGAGAATCAAATTTAAAGTTTTTTTTTCAATTAATTTTTATGACTATTACATCACATTATAAAAACGTGGAAGTTGATTTTGTTTATTTTGAAATATTTAAATTGATAAGATATTAAAAATGAACTATGTGTGTTTGTATTTAGATGTAATAAAGGATGGAAAGGAAAAAGATGCCAAATTAACTCATTATGCAATAACTTCTGCTTTAATCTTGCAACTTGCATACCTGCATTAAATGAAGATGAATTACCCACTTGCGTGTAAGTTTTATTTTCATGTCATATTTAAGTTGGATAAAATATATTACAAATGATCAGAAAAATCATAATAAATAATCTTCTGTTTACTGTAAATGCTCACTTAAATACCCATGGGCAATTAAGTGAAATGTATTCTTTTATTACTTTAGTACCATAAAGGCTAGTTTCCATTATATGGATTTCTGTAGATTGTTGCCTAGCAATGATCCATTTACACAAACACTGAAATCTCATTGAGCTGGCAAGAAAAGCAAATCCCTTTTTATATGATCAATCTTGGAGAGATTATTATAATAATATATAGATGAAAATTTCAGAAGAATTAGGAAATGATGGTAATCCTAATCTTTTCTGCTATTGGATGGAATACTTGTGTTAAACATTAGTGCAGGATAGACAACCTTTAGCATACATGACACAATGATTTTTTTGAGGAGAGTGCTGCATGCCATAAAATAAACAAACACAACTCAATGAAGATGTTAGATATTTCAACTTAACAGAATACAATAAAAAAAAACTCTTCAGACTTTGAACTGGATAGTGATCATATAATGTCTTGATAAACCTCAGTCATCTCAGCAGAACAGCAGCAAAGCTCTTCAAACATTTTTGGTATAGGCCAAAAATGTTTGAAGTGTTTTACTGTTGTTCTTTGTTGCTGGTGAGGTTTATAGAATACAGTTTTATTGAGTAGAGTGATANTCTCTGATTAAAAGTGGCTTTCAAAGAAAGCTAAAATCAGATACAAAGTTATTTTTCTCAATTAAAAATGAAAATTAATCAAAAAAGATAAAATAAAAATAATAATATTTCAAAAAGGTGGTCAACTGGCTAAACAAGACCACGACTTTTACATACAAAATGATAAGTTACTGGTTGTTGATGAAACTTCTTATTTGGGAATACAATTTAATGCTACATCACAATTTCAGTTATTATTTATAATGACAAATTCAGATATATTAAAGATATTGATGTGCCGAGTACTTTCCTACTGCCAATGTCATCAGGCATCACATAAGGAAGCCCTATCAGTAATATATAATGATGAATTCAGATGGTATTGAAGAGTAAGAATAAGACAGCTCCATAAATTTACAGTAAATACTAAATGCACACTGAAAATATTTTCTAGCTTCTTAAATGTTAGAGAATTTATAATTCCATTATCAAAATGATTGAAAAAAATAAATATTTCAACCTCTAATCATGAAATATTACTAGCCAAGCTATTAAGACTATTATACAAAAAAATGCATACTGATGCTCATAGTAAAAATTGGGTAGGTCAAGTATCAAGTGTCAACATATTGAAAATATTTGATGCAGATTTTCTATGGAAAAAAACTGAGATGAGTGATTTACTTAGCTCACAATTGATGCAAAATGTCTTTGAAATATCCTTTACCAAAGATATTAATGATCTTAATAGCTGGAAAAACCCCAAATGGTATAATTTTAGAATACTCATATATTAATGGATATATATTCTCAAATTTATATTTTAATATAAAAGAGTTCTTCATTCAATTAACACTAAATAAGGAGTTAATGATAATTTCATTTATTAATTATCTAACCGTTGTTGCTTTAGATGTAATATGTTCCAAAATTCACTTGTTTTGTCTCTGTAAAGCTCAAGAGTTACGAGATAAAGTTACCAATGAAAAAATACGTATCTAATGCACGAAGATAAATATTAGTTGTAGTTTTTGTAGTGTGAAAAAAAAAATATTTCCAAAAATTTATTCTATTGGCATAACATTATATATAAATTTTAATGATTTGCAAATCATGTATCCATTTTGTTATCCTGTAACATACATGATTGAAAAGGATGAAACTTCCACGTAATTGCCCATGCACAATTAAGTGAAACATTTTTCAATAAAAATTACATTCAAAACTTAACACTTGATTTAAAATACAATATACAGTATGTATAATATACAATGATTATTGATATGACAAATTGTTGTATTAAAAGGAAATTTTAAATATGTTCATTATATATTATATTTATTTACAAATAAAAATTTGAGTTTTTCTTCAGTGGATTACTTTTTCAACTATTTGTTATGATTTGTCTCTCAATAATTAAGCAAACACTCGGTATGATAATTTAATTAAAATACCTTGTATTGTTGACATATAAGAAAAATTTCAGGTATAAAACACTCAGAAAAATCATTTATAAATGTGTAATATGCTTGAAAGCACTTACATTTTTATGTGCACCAGTTATACTGTGGAAACTAGAAACACAGTAATGTATCTTATTCATACTTGAACTTTCTAAGTGCAGATTACTATGAATTTGTACGATGCCATAAAAGTGGGCAGCATATCTGAACTGCATACTACTTACTTGTATGTCGTCTGATCTAGCATTTCTAAAGAACATTACAGCTTGTTTGGTCTGTAGTCCAAATGAATTAGATGAAATTCTCTGTCATTCAATCAGAAAAGTATGTTGCATTTCCATTCTCTTGTCTTTCCAGAATGAATGGTGTGTGTGTGTGGTGTATGTGTGTGTGTACTATATAATTTCTTAAGTTAGATTGAGATCATGAAATGATAACTAACAATTTCAGTTATTATTTATAATGACAAATTCAGATATATTAAAGATATTGATGTGCCGAGTACTTTCCTACTGCCAATGTCATCAGGCATCACATAAGGAAGCCCTATCAGTAATATATAATGATGAATTCAGATGGTATTGAAGAGTAAGAATAAGACAGCTCCATAAATTTACAGTAAATACTAAATGCACACTGAAAATATTTTCTAGCTTCTTAAATGTTAGAGAATTTATAATTCCATTATCAAAATGATTGAAAAAAAATAAATATTTCAACCTCTAATCATGAAATATTACTAGCCAAGCTATTAAGACTATTATACAAAAAAATGCATACTGATGCTCATAGTAAAAATTGGGTAGGTCAAGTATCAAGTGTCAACATATTGAAAATATTTGATGCAGATTTTCTATGGAAAAAAACTGAGATGAGTGATTTACTTAGCTCACAATTGATGCAAAATGTCTTTGAAATATCCTTTACCAAAGATATTAATGATCTTAATAGCTGGAAAAACCCCAAATGGTATAATTTTAGAATACTCATATATTAATGGATATATATTCTCAAATTTATATTTTAATATAAAAGAGTTCTTCATTCAATTAACACTAAATAAGGAGTTAATGATAATTTCATTTATTAATTATCTAACCGTTGTTGCTTTAGATGTAATATGTTCCAAAATTCACTTGTTTTGTCTCTGTAAAGCTCAAGAGTTACGAGATAAAGTTACCAATGAAAAAATACGTATCTAATGCACGAAGATAAATATTAGTTGTAGTTTTTGCAGTGTGAAAAAAAAATATTTCCAAAAATTTATTCTATTGGCATAACATTATATATAAATTTTAATGATTTGTGCCAATAATAGAAAAAATGTATATCTTAATAAGTACAAAGACGACAATTTACTAATTTAGATTAATGTTAATGATGTTATGTATGAACTAATTTGTTTTGGAAATAATGGTATAATACAATGGTAAAATCAATTGTTTATACTAAATTTATATACCCTATTTTAACAGGCAATATCCTAATACAATAAAGTTATTTGATTGATTGATTGATGTTTCAACCTCTAAAAATATGTACACACAGAATATATTTGATTTAGATTCAGTTCAATTTATTTCTTTTACATAAGAAATTTGAATTCCTTATACTTAATTTACAAGTACTGTACATAATGTGAACCAACATGGATTACTTAAAAAATTTAGCTACAAGTTGCATAATGTTCTGCTGTCTGTAATAAAAGATTTAATCACGACTTAGGAATTAATAACAAAGGAAGATTACTGTTAACTTTTGTTCAAAATTACAACCTGTTTATCTTAAAATGGGAACTTTGTTGGTGATTTCTCAGGTTGTTATATCCACATCTCTCATAAGGGAGCTTCAGTAATTGATTACGTTATCTGTTTGGAATTTTTATTGGACTATTGTACTAAATTTGGGGTTTCTAATGTCGATCTGTCTGATCATCATCCAATTTTGTTGACAATAGGATGATGTTTAAATCATCCTTTGATGGAAAATCAAAGAAAAGTGTACAGTCAATTACAGAGAAATATAAATACAATAATACCTTTGAACAAGAGATTGTCAATAGAATAAGATCAATTCAGAATGTAGTATCAATAGAAGGTACTGATTTTGTTTATAGTAAAATAGCAAAATTTTTAATAATTTCATAATAGAAACGAATCCAAATAGAGTAAAATATTACACTAAGATAGCTTGAGCGGTATGATTGTTATATAGCCAAAAGATTAAAAGAAAAAAGCACTAACTGTATTTCATAAAAACAGATTATATTATAACTATATTTCATAAAAACAGTGCTTGCAAGAAAAGCTATATTAATTTAATAAAAGCAAAAAAAGAAAAGTTATTTTAATTCATTGAATAAAAAAAATTATTATTGCTTGTTTGTAATCGTCAAAAAAATATCACCCTAGAAATATAGTGGAGAAACTTGATTTCATTTCTTTTGACTGGTGGTATGAATTTTTCATGAACAGATTGATGGGGATGCAGACTAATTTGTATGAAATTGACCTGGAGAGTTTGGATGAGGTGGAAAGTCAAGTGCTGAATCTGCCTATCCATGGGGTGGAAATAGTCGAAACTATTGGTGAAGTTGAGAGAGAAAACAGGTGGGTCCTGATTTGGCCCTGGTTTGTTTTTTAAAAACGGCTGCCAGATGAAGTAATGGACCTCCTTGCTCTTAGTTATAATTATATCTATAATAGTGGTGTCTTTCCTGATCTGTGGAATTTGATATACTTCCGGATGATTTATAAAAGGAGAGATAAGTCTAATCCTAGTAATTATAGACCAATTGCCATTCTGTCAATGCTTAGGAAGTACTTTATAGCTATATTGGCAAACACATTTGAA